ATCGATAGCATTTGCTTCATTGTACTTGATCTTTTTTCTGTACTTCATTAAAAGTTTGCTAAACTCAATCAATATACGTCCATAACCTACACTTTCTTCATAATGATTGATTGTTGTAAAGCATTTGTAGCGCTGCGTTTGGTATTGTACTTTGTGTAAGAATTAGAACAAATCATGGAAATGATTATAGGTTTATTCGTGTTTTATTCGTTTCTGTGGCAAAATATGATTTCTTCAAGCACACGGAAAAAGGAAGTGTAGATTGTTAGGACTTGGTTTGAGCGGTTACTGGGTAAATTACTCTTATTAGTTTTAATTTACATTATTAACAGATAAAATAATAGACAGATTATGCATGTTCCTACAAACAAGACATGTGGGCGGCCAGATGGAGACATGAGGGTGGCCATGTCAGTGAACAGAAGCAAAGAGCCCCAGTGGCGGGTCATCGCCATCGATCCGAGAGTGCAGAGGACCATAAGTTGATAAGGTGTAAGAAGTTGACTTGGTCGGATGACACAGGGATGTGTTCTGAAGATAGATTTGCTGTGTCGAGCCGGTAAGGTGCTCCGCATGGAAAAACAGCTGAAGGTCTATCCAGCCTAAAGCTCTACTACACGAGTTTGACTTCTGTAAGCGAAGTCAATACTGGGCGCTGAAAAGTGTCCTGTTAGTGGATAAGGTAGAAATTGGGACCTTGATGTCGATGTGTGCGAAATTAAGTGCATCGGTGTCAAGTGCTTGGTCTGGACTGTGACCCACGAACTATTTGAGATTCATATTGCGATGGTTTCTTCTTGTAGTTTTCCGTAACTAAGACTCCCAAAAGATATGAGTTAGTCCCACTATCTCGGTCTGGATCTCGGTCCAGTCGGATGATTGATTCAGCGTTCTACGCTGATTCTCCCCTAACATAATACAATATAGCTTACTAACGTGCTCAAGTCAATTTGACTTCGCAATATTATAAATAGGCTAGAAAGATAGTTTCACGAAGTCGTCATAGGAGTCTTGGTTGTAGCGAAGATATAGGCAAAGTCGTAGGCATAGTCATGGTCATAGTTAAATGATTGAAGTGATCAAACCATTTTGGATGATCAAATCCTTTACCATATCCAATACACCTGTTGTGTGTAGTCGTAAAGCGCTTGATATTGTGTTGATCACTGTCTTAATTGAAGTTTTGTTGTCTTTAAGGCAGCTTCTGAGAGCTTGCGAAAGTGCAACGTACGTAAGCTCTAGCGTGATTACATGCGTAACCCACCGAAGTTGTTACTTCAGTGCTGTAAAGCTTTTTTTTCGATGTAGCCATAGGGCGCGTAGAGCACAACATCTGGTAATGTTGAGAACCACTTGTATAGCAGAAATCCGGAATAGCTTAGTAGCAGTTGGCGTAAGTTGATAAGCACTTGCAAGTCCAATCGAGATCTCCTTCAATGAGCTCTTTGAAAGGCTTAAGGTAATAACTTTATTGATAATTAGCAACATGACAATCCCAAAACAGGTGTTTGGCGTCTTCAATGGCAATACACCCATGTAAACAGGTGGTTGACATGTTGACTTCAGTTCTCCATTTAGACCTTTATCGTACTCCCAGTGCATTATGTTGTAGACGAACCTTAACATTCGAACATATCGGATGAACGTAACAATTCCATGTATACTCCGCAGTCCACATACTTGGGGTGGGCGTAAAGTCGGGCAATAAGTTAAGTTGTCGCAACGGTAGGTCTGGATTACTTGTATATTTAGTGTCTGCAACAGTTACTTAGTAAAGTCTCGTTTTTGTATGTCAACAACAAGGTTTCCATCGAAACTCCGTGCATGGCAAGCGGCTTCAATATTGTATGGTCGTGAAGCTCCGTAGTGTGGAGAACCCCCTGGTATGATTCATTCGAGCCTTCGTATTGTGTCACTCACTGAGCGAGTCAGTGAACTTGGCCTTGCAAAGTCATCCGAATTAAGTAGTAGTCGTAGTATATTCATTGTAGCGAATGTACCATCAAAATTCACAAAGTCTTGAAATCGGTTAAAGCCTAACTCCATGGTTCAGTTAACCGTCTTCGTGCTAACACTGCGTTAGCGTGCCTTCAGCTTCCCAAACGTGAAGTGAAGGTTGTCCCAAAACGGACTTGTTTGCGCAAACAACTTCCAGTGGTTGTGCCGCGTGAGCTATGTAAAATAGCCCAAAGCTTCTAGGTGCTTCTCCATTACTCAGTTAGGTGATTCCAGTATCCCCCTTTCATACTGGAGTATAATATGTCGGAAAAGAGAGTCAACGCCGATGATATCCAGTGAGGCTCGTTCGATGTGATATTTGCGGCAACAATGCCGTCGCGTAGACACTTTAACTGCATGGCATCGACGAAATGAAGTGTGCCCAACGCCACCCTCTTTAACACTTGTATATATCCATTCTTATCAAATTTGCCGGAGTCAGATGATGACGCACTGATGTCATTTAAGTTGACAAAACTGCGTATTATATGTCAATTTGCTTCAAAATAGGCAAAGGTATCATAGTAACACTTGTCGTTTACCATAGCACTGGTAAGATGATACCTTGCAGTATGACAACCTTCCTCGTAGTGTTCTTGCTCGGTATTATCAAAGCGCACACCGAGCTTGTATCGTCTTTATTACCACGTTGTACCGTTGTTCCGGTGTAACAATTGCTCTTTGTATCACACCAAGAAGCCGTACTGTTTCCCACGGTGACAACACTTTGACTTCATTTCGCCTTCGTAGTTCTGCGAGCTTACCATTGGATACATGGTGCGAAAACGGCATGATGTTTTTTTTCGTAACATTGAGCCGTAAGCCAGCAGTATCTGCATAGTCTTGAATGAGACCAAAAAATCATCGGCGTCGTCGAGATCAGACAACATTCCGGCGCAGTCGTCAGCAAACGCTAGTAACAGATGGGGCGTGTCTGTGTCGTCTACAGGTACGCCTTTTGAAGATAGCTTCGCGCGAAGAAAGTTCATCATTGGCTTAATGAAAACAACAAAGAGAGCAGGTGATAAAAGATCTCCTTGTCAGTAAATAGGGTCACCAGGGCAGCCATTAAGTAAAAGACTGACAGATTTTTCTTTGTAGAAAGTCTTCACCCATGCACGGAAGTCGCACCAAATCCGCCGTGGTGAAGCGCCACATCCAAAGCAGGCCATAGGGCGCTATTAAATGCTTTGGCGAAATCCAAGAGTACCGCACACGCATCCGGGTACTTTGTTGTGCAAATATTTTACAAATCTTGAAAGCGAAGTAATGAGTGACGGAAAGACCGCCCATAAACGAAGCCACTATGGTCTTCGTGGATGATAGACTGTACAACTTGACCCAATCGTCACTGTTGGACCTTTGGTGTTAGTTTGGAATTGTGATTGAAAAGAGTAAGCGGTCTAAAGTTTTCGGGAATAATGCGATCACCGGACTCAAATAGAAGGGACAAGCGAGCCCGTCTTTGAAACTTGGTCATTTTCCCATTATCCAGCTGACTGCTGTATATCACTTCATAAATCCTTGCCCACAGACTCGTGTTAAGCTTGTAATATTCAATTGGTCAACCATCTGGCCCTGGCAATTTACCATTTTTATGCCACAATTGCCCAATGTATGTCATTTGCTGCGATTGGGACGTCAAGCATAGCTTGTTCCCTTGCTCACAACGGTGACTTTGTATGCTGCAGCAATGTAGCAAAACGAAGTGGCTAATTTGAAGGCCGTTGGTCTAACAAGTCAGCGGACGTGGACTGAAAAATCCTTCCCCAATATTTTTTTTGATGGCCTACCGCAATTGATAATTTGTCGTCAGTAAGTAGTAAGTGTTCTGTCTTCGTTAGCAACTCCGTGATTGGAGAACAAAGGCAGTCCGACTGTGGCGCACGAGAAAAATAACTTTTTGCTCGCTCACTTATGTGTAAGTCCGCGGCATTTTTTTATATTTATGCCGTGCTTTTACATCATCTTGATAGGACTTGAATTTCATCTCGACTTCTTCTAACGCATTTTTGTTTATTTCTGTAGGTGCGACATTGATTAAGTCGGCGGCCGCATTAACTGCACTTTTCTTCGCAGCCATCATTCGTTCATCTGCTTGTGGAAGTTTCTTCCAACGTCTTTGGAGGTATATGCAGTAGATAAAATATATCGATGTCTACCTGTCAATGGCCGTTTATGCTCATCAAGTAGGCAACCAGGATTTTCCCCCGGAAATATCTTGATACAGTAAACCAGTGATACCGTTGCGCCTCAATGTCCCGTAAAAGCCAAGTTAAACATCTCCAGGGTTGACGTCCACTGCGGTGAACAGGCATTGAGACAAGGCACACTTCAACAGGTATGTGATCTTCATTATGCCACTTGCGATCACGAACGTGTTGTTGAACTGATACCAGGTTGTCTTGAAGTAGGTTAGCCGTTACAAAACAATAGCCCAATTGATTTTTACGCGAAGGACTGGTGTAGTCCCGTAAGTTCGGGTTGATAAAGCGCCAGGTATCAGCTACACCAAGTTTTCCGAGCCAGTCGTCAAGTTCGTTTCGACTCCGGCTGACCCGTAGCCGTCTGTCAAGATAATCGTCCATAGCAACGTTAAAGTAGCCTAATATAATGTGTCTGGTGCTTTCGACCGTGTTTACTTCGCAGCCCATTGCTTCAAAGTGATTAAATAGAGGTTGAGCAAATTCTCAGCCAAACATGGGTTCATCAGGTGTAAACACTACGTGTAAGAACCAAATCGCCCCCTAAAGTTGCTCGAAGTAAAAAGTAACGCATGCACAGTTCTGATTTGTATACGCTAGCCGTGAGATCAATAACCTCTCCAAATGGAGAGGAAGATGAAAACACTATATGGCGCCCGTTAAATGTTGGGGACGTAGAACGAGATCAAAAGCAGCGTGCTCCAGAATCCGCTACATGTACAAAGTGCTCGTTGATTCGTATAGAATCTTCTTTAGTGAACTTATTCTCTTAGAACGCAACGGACTGATACGCAGAGAAAAGTCGCTTATACATAGTGAGTGAAAGTTTGTTTATCCCATTCATGCTAAGCAAATTTCCTTTGAAGTCCCAAGTCTCCATGGAGCTGAGAGTGAGATCATCGCGACAAACGTACTTAACTTCACATTGCATGAAGATGTGTTGGCGACTATTCAAGCACGACCTGTGTACTTTCACCAGCTGTTCGAGATCTCTCTTCAGCGGCAGCAACAATTAGAGACAGATCATGCGATCTATCGCACTATATGCGCACTACCTTTTGACAGGACAACCGGTTGACTTCTTGTCCCGGTTACGCTCGCGTTTTTGTGACAAGCTGCCTAATTCCGATCCGATTTTAATGGCAATTGTTCCGGATGAAGAGGCACGGTATGCAGCTTGCTACTGCACACTCACCAACTTATTAATGATGATCTTCACGCCATTTATTTATGTCGATCCATGGAAGGTACAAGCGTTGCTTCCGCAACAGCTAGCTCCTTATAGCAAATTATGTTGTTATAATTATGCGTGTTTTCGAACTGTACATCAAATCCTGACGATTTGGAGTCAGAGATTCCGCTAGTTTTTTGCATCATCTCCACTATTGAACTCTCATGATCTCAAAGCGTAAATGTGGATGTCAAGCCCATCAAGCATAGTGACAAAAAATGAACATTTGTATGTCTGCTTTTGTCACGCATAGCTATCATTGCACATATTATGCATGTCAATCCATTTGATTCCATTCGGATGCTTCAAGATAGCATTTACCACAAGTAATACAAAAGGAACAATAAAACAAAAACAATATCTATTTTAGACTCACAAACGCATCATGGGTATATTGCAGTCACAAAATCCAGCTGGACTCAATACTCGGATTCGATAACGACAAAAACGTGGTAAAATCAGCCCGAAAGATTTTTACAATACTTTGCTTCTTCGCAGATGACGTCGAATGACGAGATAACTGACAGAATATATAGATTTGTTGCTATATGATGAATAGATTGTCAGGACTTGCAGCCTCTTCCAAACCTCGTCCAGTGATATTTTTCTTCAGTGCATTTACACTGAAGAATCCCTAGGAAATGGCCATTCGTTGAATTGTCAGACACAAACTTGTATCTTACGACGAAGACTCGGCTGCAGATTATATAGAAAACTCCTCTAACAACAAAGCACATGTCTATGATGAAGCATTCGTCTTGGTTGGCATCCGCATTCGGCGAACGCATACATCAACTGCTGCTCAGTACCATGTCGATTGCATCTAGCGCCAAACGTTTCATTTTGGTGAAACTTACCACTTGACGCTCGAAACTTGCTATTAAACTGCTTGCAAATCAATTCATTCAAAGTTGGTCAAGGTTGCCAAGAATTCAAAAAGTCCTCCAAAGTTTTGTCCAGGTGCGAATTTAACATATTTGTACAACAGCACATCACGAAATTTAAACAGTACAAAGGCATGGATGAGCGGACGAGCACTGGAGTTCGGCTTTCCCGACCCAACAAACTAACAAATAGACATGGTAAACGTTACATATTCGTAGCGTGACTTCCAACCAATTACTCGATGAGCAATTACCTCAAGAGAGTCTTGCTTCAAACTTATCATCTGAAAACAATCTGAGTGACGAATAGCAGCCAATACATCTTCATCATCGTTATAAACTTAAAGCATGGTAACGGTATTGAACAATCACGTTGAAAGCTTTATTAATGCTCAGTCATGTCCGCTACACTATCCATGGATAGCTACGTCTATTCACGATTACCACGGTCGAATGTATTGAATACGTCTATTTCGATAAATCTCGGGTGTTTCAATGACGTCGTCTGTCGTCTGTCAACTGTGGCAAATTTGCTACAACATAATTCACTGGCTGGTAAATATTTACCGCACAGATGACAATTTTCCATAACTCAAAGATATTGACAAGCTCACACAGCGACTCAACGCTGAAGTTATTCTCGATTCTTTTCTTCTTGGCTTTTGCTGATACTTTCTTCTCTGACCTAAGCGGGGGTGGTGCCAACTTTACCGCAGCAAAAATTCTTTTGGAGGAAGCCAAGTACTTCGATCGGAGGAACCAATGCAGAAAAGATTTATTAGATTTTGGCAACTAGCAATCACCATTGTTGATGGCTATCAACAAAGTATGTGAAGTTATCCACTATCTGTGTGCTTGGATGACCCCGAAATTGAAAATCGAGATTGTTTTACTAATTTCAAGAATTCTTGCAGCAGCAATATTTTTCGTGGTGAAGATCATGAAAATCTGCGATTAAAACAGCGAATGCGGAACGCCCAACCATCCAGATTTAGTCCCAATAATGTAACAACCGTGCCAAGAATTTCCCCATCTGTGCCAGGCGATTGAGACTTGATTACTGTAAAAAAATGCATGATCTGGTTTATCAAAAGTAGTTTCGATATACGTTTCTAAATTGCATTGTCCCAAAACAAGCATTAACAAAATTGAGGCCCCGATGTTGACGTCGATGGCCGATATTGACTCGAGAGAAAATTACGTGATTATTTGCGTTGGCAGCTACCACCACCACGTTCAAGGGTCATTTACTGCAAATACATCGACTTTGTTCGGCACGCCCACCTTAAAGATAACATCAACGTCTATTGAGTAGAAGGTAAAAGCCGAAGTGAATATGTTTAGGTCCTTAGTTCGCTACTCTGTGCTACCTCTAAGCCTGTCTTTCTAGATCCTTCTAGAAGCTATTATAAGCACCCTATTTATCTAGACCAATGAACGCCAACCATTATGTGATTACTTACTGTGATGTGCTCGTAAATATGGTGACGTCATCTGCCTGTTCAACATGCATTCAGCGATGTAATCTCAGCAACGTCGACATTTTGCTAGTGAAATACATTGATGCGTCAGACTGACAAAAGCATTCACGGTATACTCCGTTTCCTTGCGCACTTCTTAGCCAGGTATAGCTATAGTGTGCTCGCTACAGTCGGACTGCAGCTGTGTTGCGATCGTTCGACAGCCATGTACTTCGCATTTCCCCGCAAAGAGAAAGCTCTTCCAATTGCTCCACCTTCCATCTTTTGTTTTCTGACTGCTTCTGTTTAATATGGTGGTCTGAAATTTTGTTCAAACGATACCAATATCGATGAATAGTAGAACCAATATCTCTTGAATACATTTTGACGATCCTTCATATGCTTGTTTCCACCGTGCGCTCGAAATCTCATGTTGCCGAACTTGGTTATTCTTATGTGACTATTACTATGAGCACGCTCGATATCTTGTGGCGAAAAATGTCCCTGTTGCCAAGTGTGACCCTTTGATCTTTGCTCAGATTTGCCTTGTCAGCAGGGAATTGCTTGTCCTGGTCAGCAATCATCAAACGACGAGCGTGGTCATTATGCTTCAATTGTATATAGCTCTGAGGTTAAAGTTGCGAATGTTGCAATAAAAAGAGTGTAATCGCTGTCTTTCATTTGTTGCAAACAAAACACATTTGAAATGCTCCAAATTTATAATGGAGCGATCTTATTTTGATGTGCATCACACGTACAGGTGTTGCAAAACATCTTCGAGATCACGTTACCACGCCTCCACATGTTTTCACGGCGCTAAAATGTCTTAGCGACCTGCAGTTATCGACTACGGTTGAGGCCGCGTCATCATATTTGATCCCTACGAGTTTCGAGTTCATATTTCTCGGGGATGATGAAGACACCAAGGGAAACGTGGTCGTGATTTGGATACCAACATAAAACTAGTATTACAAAAGCTGGACTAAACTTGGGATGGGTGGCATTGACAAATCACACCTTCCAAATCATGAAACAGTAGTACACGTGACCAAGAACGACGAGGAAGGCGCAGCTTCCAGCTACTTTGCTTAGCTATTAGTCAATTGACTCAACTATGAAGATTGCTGCTCTTGTCATTGCCACTGCAATCGCTGTCGGGATTGTTGCAGCTGCTGATTAACTTGCTTTGAGCTCGGCTGGTGAACCTGTCAACTGGTAATCGTGCAACCAAAGTGGTCCGGCATAGACAGGATAAAGCGCTCGAGCTTCCATCGTATGGATGTGAGGGGAGATCTGGAGAGTATGTCTCAGCCTTTAATGTGGGACTTATCCGTCGGTATATCATCCCTTCGCAAAGCTAATCTTCGCGAGGCATAATTTGAAATCTGAAAGTCTCGGAATTTCTTCAATGATACCGGTTGAGCTCAATGATGACACAGGTGGATACATCACCCGCGCCACCTACATTGCGAGAGAGATTTTTCGCATTGCTTTTCTGCTTGCTGCATCTGAATGTTTTGCTACCGCAATCGAGGTAGAGCTATCTTCTCGATGTTTCTTTAAAACCCAGTTCGAAGTTGCCACTAGCCTTTTGCGATGGAGGTGTCATGAAGGTTATCTTATCGCTGCACCTTGACCACTCAAATAGTCACATTATTATTGACACATGGTGCAAACGCTTTTTGCTATATTTGGTAAACCACATTGATTATTCGTAGCATCCAGGAAGGTTAAAGGTTTTGTCTCGTCAATGTTTAAAGTATTTCTAGATGATGATTGTTTCGAACCTCTTGGAGCTCTGCAGTCAAAGCAATATTTCTGTGATCAGGGATTTGAGCCACCACAAACTCCACACGACCAAATTCCAGATTGAAGCATAAACCCACTTGGTTAAGACAGTGAAGATTTGTTATGACGCCGCAGCTCTCGAGCTGTCGGTCTCCTATATGTGTTTGGTGCAACCAAAACAAGACACGACTTCGGCTTCTCTGGTGGAATGGTTAGCAGCCACACTTGATTTATTTATTCACTGTTCGCATGTTCACGATGTAAGAATCGCAATCGCTACCGGGTAGACCTAGTGAATCAGTTGTATTCTGTGACATACAGATGGATAAATTCGACTAATCAAGAAAAATGAAAGAAAATGCCACGTTGAAGTCAAAACTGAACACTGATACGCATAGTATTCAGGGCAATCTGTTTCATGAAGGATTTTGTTTTGCCTTTTGTCAATTGACGCAGCTATGAACGCGCAATTATTCTGCATTCTCGCAACTCAAATCTGAGAAACTACAACGACCAAGCAGGCAAAATTGTTCGTCTTCTAATCATTGTTTACTGAGGGACTGAAGTGGGATTTGAGCGAAGATAAAGTAGCCAAGAAGCCTCACCATTAGATCAACTCCATTCATATACATCAATTTGTAGAGAAACAATGAGTATCGCGACCACCACGCATTCGCCGTGGGAGATGTAGCATATGAAGGGAAAGAAATATCAAGATCTGAAATTTGGAGACACTTGCTCTTTTGATTGCACAAGAAGATTGAATAGGATTACTTATCTTGGTCGCACTGGCAGCCTCAAAGGGTCAAGAGTGGTTATAGCAATATCAAAAATGTCGAATTGAGAATCTGCACGCAATGTGGCAATAAGCGTACAAATGATTGCGTACGAATGTAATTTCACATGTATTAATCGATACTGGGTCGAAGCTAATTTAAGATCGGAGTAAGGATGGAGACGGAAATGCGGTGAAGTTCAAAGTATGCATTCATTGTTGTAGCAATCTGCAAAGCTAAGTATCGTTTAAGAGACTCAATGTTCTGTAGCTAACAATAGGCAACGTCTGTAGGTCATCGCTTCTTTTAGGATTCATCACGTACTGTACAAGAACAGGTTCTGAGCTCCTGAGCGCTAATTAATGGCTGCATAAACGACTGGTGTAGCCACCCCACATACTTACGCAATACTAAAAGACGTCCGTGGTAAAGTCGACTTGCGTGTGGACATTATTTGTGACTTAACTTGATGGGTTTGGCAGCCGCATTTACGTTTTGAAATTGTGAGAGTTTGATAGTGGGGATGATACAAAAAAATCGTAGTTTTTTTAATTTTGGATCTAAACTTCTATCACCAGTCTTCGGATTAATCAATTTTTACGAATGAATTTGGAAGCGCCACCGAGAGTCGTTATTTGATCTGCTCGACTATTATTCGTATTATTCAGATGCAATGCTGGTCAAATTGGCCGTCGAGGCACTGACTTCAGAATGTTTGAAAAAAACAATTTTATGATTCGATGACAGTTCGGATGGCTTGACAGCTATAGAAAAGAACCGAAATGTTCAAAAAAATTAACTCTAACATGCATAGATGTACAACGCAGATCGCTTGAAAAGCGACTTTGCTAAGCGATTCGTCAATCGACTCAACCATGGAGGTCGCTGCTCTTGTCATTGTCAATGCAATTTGCTTTCGAAATGTTGCAGCTGCTGATTAACCCACTTTGCGCTCGGGAGAAACTGGTAATCGTGTTACCGAAGAGGTCCGACATGGACAGGATAAATCCATCATATGAATGTGGAAGGGGGATCTGCAGAGTACGCCTTGGCCTTTAATGTGGCACTTATCCGTCAGTATTTCATTCCTTGGTAGTGCTGATCCTCGCGTGGCATAAGTCGAAGTCTGAAGTTGGAATTCACTTATTGACACCGGATACATTGCGAGAAATTTTTGCGGTGACTTTCTCCTTGTTGTATCTGAAAATCATGCTACTGCAATCGATGCTTCTTGATAAATCCAGCATTCGAATTAAAAGCTAACGCTGCTGGATATTTGTAAAAGGAAGGCTCATGTAGGCTATCTTATCGCAGCATGTGACCACTCGAGTATTCAAGCTATTATTGAGCGCAGTGGGCGCGCACGCTTTCTCGATTTATCTGGTATACCACTTCGATCATTCATAGCATCCAGGCGTTTTGAGGGTTCTGTTACGTCAATAATTGAAGTATTTTCACATGACGAGTTTATTAAACCTCTTAGATTTCGGCAGTCAAAGATATATTTTTGTGACCGGGATTTCGAGCCACCACAAACTCCACACGACCAAACTAAACCTTTAACCCACTGGAAAAGGACAGCAAAGATTTGTTTTGACGCCGCAACTCTCGAGCTGTCGGTCTCCGATTCAGGACGCCGTTAGGAATAGCAAGACTAGTCTCGCTGCTTCGGATTGAGAGAGAGAGAGTTATTCTTGTAGCTGACAGCGGCACAGATACAATGGGTAGGGCTGGTGAAAGCTGTTTGCTTTTTTGAATGTCATGTTTATAGTAGTTATATTCATCTTCTGAAGCCTTCATTTTCATTATCTGACTCGCTATCATCTACAAATCAACATGCCTGCAAGACTGCCGCATCGTCCTCATGTTATTCTGTTGATGATCCATTGTGTCTTCCTCCGCTTAGCCAACAAGCGACACCCTTAGATGGAAAAGGTCGATTCATTCGTCTACCCGATTCTGCCACTTAAATCGTAATACCAAGCTTCTTCATCAAAATTATTGAATCCATAGGCTCCAAGGATAGTGCCCGCTTCCTTTTATTTTTATACAGCATTTTAAAAACTTTAAATTTGACAACGGCGTAGTCGCAGCTTCGTTTTTTATCACACCTGTCAAACCTTTCTGCTTGGCCTGTACTTGGGTTGTTTTCGAAAAAGTTCTCTCTACTCACAGGGAAGAATGGACGCTCGTCCATATGCGTTTTGCTCACATAGCATGCATCTACCCAGACTGTGAAACAGTTTTCAACAGTACCGTGCCGTGATTGCGATCATATAGACTCTTCTTTTGTGCCACTTGGTTATCTTGTTCTTCCACGTTGGAGTGACTTTACCCAAAACCATGCGCGTAATCTTGGCGTGAGGCGTTTCACAGTGGACGCTCCCAGTTCGCACAACATTTGGGATACGATATCGCTACAGTCAATTCTTGCGTCAACATACAAGCGTAAGATAACCATGGCAACCACTCCTTTCAATAATCCAATATTGCAAAATTTACGACCACTGGACGCCGTGGATTTTGTGGCAGTGATAGAAGACGCACTTGCTGTAATTCGTGAGGTACCTGTAGCCAAAAGCCAAAGATCGGGAGTCGGGTACTGTGGTCACCATACTCGCGAACGAAATTCTTTGAAGTTTGGGGCAAATTTCAAAAGTGGTGCTTTCGGCGCGAAGCGAAATACATGTACAGAAGCTTAACTGAGTACGAATGAATAAGGGTATAGACTGATTTTTTATTTGTAAGAGAAAGCGAGAAAGGTTCCTGATTCTCCTACACATACAGCCATTTTTTTAAACGAACAGATTGAGAAAGGATCCTGTGGCTTCAAAGAGTCTTGCTAGGAAGAGGCGTGGATCCCACAGTCGTGATAGAAACCATAACAAATTTATGCTTTTCACTTCATTTTGAGTCCTCTTAATGCATTCGTATGTTTGCAGATAGCATTTACTGCAAGTGATACAAAAGTACAATAAAACAAACGCGAATTCCATCCAAATATCTTGCGTGGATAGCCTTTACAAACTCTAACTGGACCTAAGACTCGGATTCGATAACGAGAAAAAGTGGTGAAAAAAGCACGAGTAGATTTAAAACATACTTCGCTTCTTTGCAGGTGACGTCGAATGACGAGGAATTTGGCAGAATGTATAGATTTGCTGTTACATGATGAACAGATTGTCAGAATTTGCAGCGTTTGCAGCGTTTGATGGCTCTTGCAAAACGTCCCAGTAATAATTTTTTTTGCGCATTTACATTGATGAATCTTGTTAAAAAGCCCTTCGTCGCATTTACAAACATGCATTTCCAAACGGAGACTCGGCTGCAGATTATATAAAAATCATTTCCACAGCAAAATGCTGAAACATTTGCGTTGCTTGGCATCCGCTTTCGGTGAACACATATGTCAATGGACGCTCAATACCATGTCGATTGCATCTAGCGCCAAACTTTGCCAATCAATATCTTTTCGTCCGTAGCATAGATTCCTCTTGAGCGAAGACTTTCCACTTCGACGCTAGTAGCTTTCAATTAAACTGCTTACAAATCAATTGTATATAAAACAGTCGAAGTTGCCAAGTAATAGTTTCTTTTCTTTTAAAATTGTAAATTTAGTTTCAAATAATCTTTCAAGCTGATGTCCGGATGCAAATTTAGCATATTTGTACAGCAGCACATCACAATTTTTTCAACAACACAAGGTATGGACGAGCATTAGAGTTCGGCTTTGACTAACAAGAAAACTTGGTAAATCTTTCATATTCGAAGCGTGAGTTCCATCGAATTGCCTGATGAGCAATCACCTCAAGAAAGGCTTGCTACATACTACATATTATCTGGTAAACATTTAGTGTCGCAATACATCTTCATCATCGCAATGAATTTAAAGGCTTGGTAACGGTATTAGCTTTGCCGATGCGCAATCATGTCCGCTACACCAACCACGGATAGCTGCGTCCAAGCTCGATAACCACAGTCGAATGAATAACATACGTCTATTTCAATAACAATCGGGTGTTTCAATGATGTCGTCTATCATTTGTAGTGAACTGGCTAGAGAATAATTCACTAGCTGGTAACTAGCCATCGCACAGATACGATCTCCTAGAGCCCAAAGGTATTGATGAGGTCACACAGCAACTCAACCCCGGAGTTACCTTCGCGTCTTTGCTTCCTGGCCTATGCTGATACTTTTGCATCCGACCTTACCGCAGCAATCATTCTCTTGCAAGCAGCCAAGTACTTCAGTTGGAGGAATGGTGCAAAAAAGGATTTTTAGATCTTTGCAACATAGTATTCACCAACGTTGATAGCTATCAAGCTATGAGAAAAAAGCATGTGAAGTTATCCATAATTCGTGTGCAGAATTTGAAAGCGGAGATTGCTTAACTAATTTTCAGATGACATCTTTTGTGATGAGAAACAAAGAGATCAGCGATAAAACAGCGAACCAAACATCCAAATTCAGTTCCGACAATAAACATGCCGGAATTTTGCCGATCTGTATCAGCTTGATTACTTCAACAACTGCAAGGTTTGTTGATTCGGAGTAATTTCATTATGATCGTGCAAATCACGTTGCCCCAAAACAAGTATTAACGAAAAGGTCTCAAAACTGTCGGCAATAACCAGAATCGACTTTGTTCCGCACGTCCACCTTCGAGAGGTCATACGCGCCAAGATTGCTAGTGAAACACACAGATGCGTCGGACTGACAACATATTTCATATCGTCACCTCGTTTTTAGGTCGCACTTCTTAGCAAAGTACATTGCTCGCAACAGTTAAGCTGTTGCTTTGTTGCGATCGGTTCTATCAAGTAGACAGTCATGTATATCGTATCGACCCGCATACAGAGAATTCTTTCTACTGTTCCAACCGGTTCCTTAACTTTTTTCAGCATTACTGGGTCTTTAAACAAGGGTTTTAGCATAACAAAAGTTGTGGTTTTTAAACCGAGATAATGAATAGTGAAGGTGCATGTAATTTAACTCGGACTTGTAGGCAACAGAGTTTCATCTTGTACATACATGAGCCGTCGATCATGTTTGCTGAAAGCCACGTGCTACACCTTGTTCTTCAGCCTGCTGAGACGCAAAGTAGTTAAAAATCTGCTCTAAGGATGTTTGTGACACGCTGTACTCGCGAATATGCATCTCCTCTTTAATTTCTTCGACAAGTGCAAAAACTTTTGATAAGCGTAACTCCTCGTTCGAGCCGCGCAATTTAAACCGACAGAAATCATTTTGACGCTCCATTACCGTCACACCACCGTGGCTGAACGAACAACTGAGAAATGTTGAAAGTGTATCGAATCGACTTTCCTCCAGACACCATGACAGAAATGCTTCTGCACGAACGTAGCCGTCCCGTTCCAACACGGCTGCAAGTCCATATCCTGTTGGGTGTGAAGCCACTACACGCTCAGCCAGCCTCTCATCTCCATATAATCTGCACTTGTCTGCAAGATCCGCACGCGTGACGGTCTCTTGGACATCTCTAAAGTACCGCTGCACCAATTCGTCTAGCTCTTCCTGAGTCGGAGGACAAAGTTTGACGTCAAAGACCAAACCGTCGCCAAAACGAGACTTCAAATGCTGGACGCTACCTAGACAGCGCAGCCGACCACCAACCATAATGCCCACTCGAGAACACAAAGCTTCCGACTCTTCCATACTATGCGTCGTCAAAACGATTGTAGATTTCTTACCACGGGTGGAAATATCAGCGATTACGTCCCACATAAAACGACGTGATACTGGATCCATTCCCGTCGATGGTTCGTCTAGAAAGATGATACGAGGATTGCCAATCATTGCAATGGCTACCGACAATTTGCGTTTGTTGCCTCCACTCAAACTACCAGCAAGTTTATGTTCAAAATCGCCCAAATTTAGCTGGTTAATTTTGTCTTGTACCACGTCGTTGAGCTGAGCACGAGAAATGCCTTTAATCGATGCAAACAGCTCTAGATGCTCACGCACTGTCAGCAGCTCAAACAACGCATCAAATTGTGGACAATATCCAATTTGACGACGAACTTCAATTTGTTGTGTGAGGATATCAAAGCCACCAAGTGTCGCCGTACCGCTCGTCGGTAATTCATCACCTGTCAGCATCTTCATCGTTGTCGTCTTACCAGCACCGTTTATTCCAAGAAATCCAAAGCATTCTCCTTGCATTAGCCCGAATGACAAGTTGCGAACCGCCACTTTTCCTCCACGATAAACCTTTCGAAGGTTTGCAAGCTTGATAATATCACCGTCTGCTTCACCACTTGCCACACGTTGTGCCTCCTTTTCCACATCAACATCATCTTCGTACTCTTCGTCATTCGTCTCACTTCGGCCACTCATCCAGTCTTTTACCATAGGAAACGTCATTGCATAGTCGATCCCCACCGCCAATAAGCCATACAAAATGGCCGTGAGAAACAGATAAATCATCTCCCAGCCCATAATTTGGGTACTAAAAGGACTTGTTGGCGTCTCATCACTTTCTCGGATTGTTGTGATTTCATGCAGCACGAGGTTTAGCAGTCCGTAGCCAAGATCAAAGAGTGGTGACAAGCGCCAGACGAACACAAGCATTGCGTTCGTATCCCTGGTCGAATCAATCACATCGAGTATAAACGATGCGATCATCAACACGACGCCAGTGATAAAATTGATCATGATTGTGTACGTTTGAGACGATGCATGTTCATTGAAAAGGTACGACAAACAGTACGTGAACGGACAGATGGCCAGCCCAAACAAAAGGAACAAGACGATGACGGCCACGAACGTCTCAGACGTGCAGCTGGTACATGATGAGCCACCAGTCATTGCGTCAATGTCAAAGGCTTTGATTAAACCAAGAGCTGTTACACACGGAATGAGGTAAAGCAGAAAATCCCAGAGAAAATTTGCTAACCAAAACGCGCCAAGTGATACGCCCGAGACCAGTTGTTGATGCTTTGAGTTGTGTGTTGACTGCTTCTCTTTTACCAAGAATGTCACGATGGACGCAGGGTAGTACGTAAAGGCAATACAGATGAACAAGCAGGCCGTAAACGCAAGAAACGACCCAAACAATGCCTTCGAGTCGGCGGTCAGAGGCAGTGGATGGTTGTTAACAACCAAATTGAGATTCGAACCGTCGAAAGTTGAATCAGACGCAAAAAAGCGATAGATTGTCTGGTCCATCAATGCTTTGAAGATAATCGCACCATGAGTCGACGTAGTATTGACAAAAAGATTGTAACTCAATATGTTTTGGTCGCTATCTCCACGGACCAAGTAGGCACCATATTGACCTTCAACTGTAGACGTATTTACACCGTACCCCCGATTGTAAATCTCTTGACCGAGTCGTAATCCGTAACCAGTGGCACCAGTTGTGTTGACTTCAGGGTCCGTATACGTTACACCAAAGACTGTCGGTGAGCTCGAGTCGTATGCCGGTTTTGACAGCTTCAGGGCTTGAGTGGAGATATCAGTAAAGTACGAATCCATCGCTGCACTGCACCAATCATCGTCGACCGTAGTTGGCTGACAAAAGTACGGAGTCGGCGTCTTCGTTCCAGCATCAAACTTTTCAGTCGTTAACGGCAGATTTGGATCATTCTTGGTAGCACTAGTGCTTTGAAGCAGCCCCAGGCCAACAGACAAAAGGAAGATTGGAAGTGCTAGACTGTAAAAAATCATTTTCTTGTCACGCTTGGCATAGCGAAATCGCTTAAGGAAGAGAGCCCACAAGTGGACCATAAAATACGATCCCGTTGAATCAATTCGAGCATTTGTATCACTGAGGCTAGATACGGGTGTTTGACTTCGACCACGCTTCCCGAGTGTATGCTGATTATCAAGATCGTCCGCCTCCGCCACCTTAATAAACACCTCCTCCAACGTTGTCACCGAAACACCGTATGATAGCAGTCCAAGCCCTTGAAGTTCATCATCCAAGTCGGCAAACAATGACGCAAACGTCGACGAGCCCGCAAGTGGCAACTGAAACGCAATTTCACTGCCAACATTGCTCAACAGTTGTGCATTCGACACGCGCGACGTTACAAAATCGATCACTACATTGTCCACACACGTCGCATCGTCCTTAACTAGCGTCAGGTTGTAGCCTGCGCCGAACCGGTTCTTTAAGAACAAAGACGATCCGCAACAACGCAACTCACCTTCAGCCATTATGGCAATGCGATCACCGAGAATATCAGCTTCGTCCATGAAGTGCGTCGTGAGTACCATAACACGGTCATTTCGGTTGTTAAGCAAAATTTCCCACGTGCTTCGTCGACTGTATGGATCCATTCCAGACGTCGGTTCATCCAAAAACACCAAGGAGCTGTCACCAAGGAGAGAAACAGCGACAGAGAGCTTACGTTTCATGCCACCAGAGAGTTCAGTTGACATAACATGTCGTTTTTCCGTTAGTCCCACTTCTCGAATCTGCCGCGTGATAACTTCATCAAGCTCATTGGGTGTGTATCCCTTTATTCGTCCAAAAAATATTAAATGCTCTTCTACTGTCAGTTCTTCGAACAAAACGTCATGCTGGAAACAAATACCCAAAGACTCACGTATCAGGTCCATGTCACGGCAAATCGACATTCCACGGAACGTTGCATCACCACTTGTAGGAGCAATCATACCTGTGAGCATCGAGATAAGCGTCGTTTTGCCCGCACCATTGTGTCCAAGCAGGCACGTTATCTGATTCTTGTACATGGTCAGATTCAAGCCTTGAACCGCCACCTTCTTACCACCAGGAACGGAAAAGACCTTTCGTAATCGCTGAACAGCCAGGACTTGACCCTGATGTTCTTGTTCGCAAAGTTCTGGACTCACTGGCTCAACATTGTAGTTTACATCAATGGACGTACTGTTCAATAGAGCTTCTCCGGGATACTCTGCGTCAATTTTGGCATTCGCCCCTTCAGTTGCTGCACACGTCGGGCGCCAGTACGATGGAGAGAACGGAAAGTACCATTTCAAAGTTGTTCCATACTCTTTTGGTATGACCTTTTCAAAGTAGAGTCCCAAAAGCGTGTATAAAATCGTGTCAATCACAAACATAAGCAACGAACGACTAAAGCGAAAGTTGTCGTTCAAAACGCTCGCATTTGAAAAATTGACGCCAGTCCCAGTTGCTTCAAGATTCGATAAGACCTTGACACCAAGCGATAGTGCTACTGGAGAGAGAAGACACGCCAGGGTCTTTTCATTCTCGGGTGTTTGTGGAGTAAGTGCTGAGGATACAAAGTACATGAGAAAGAATAGCACCATTCCAACAAAGGCTCCAACTCGTGCCTTGCTAAAGATCGTACTAATCATAAAGCCGTACGCGAGTATGCTGAGACTAAAGAGGAAGAAAAACAGAAAGATTAGCACAGCAGAACTATTGGCGAACAAACTCGCTGAGCCCACAAAAGCTTGAAGAATCGCGCTTCCAGAAAGAATAAGTATGTACGTTATATACCACGACACGACAATAGCACTCTCGCTAACGCCAAGGATCTTCATAAATTCTCGCAATCGCAGCTCTTTTTCTTGAATAAGTACCACTAAAATTCGAGAAATTGAGTACAAGTACGACAAGATGAACACGATTGGAAAGACAGTGGAGACAGAATCATAAAATGGTGAGCTCACGAACGAATCAATGGGAAAAGGCGCTACAGACGCGCCAAGATACGGCTGTGGCGCTTGTCGTAGCGGTACAAGCAATGCCTCTATCGTTTCGTTGGAAAGTAAAGATTTTAAGCTTGAAAAAGTCACACCTCCTCCTGCGATACGTTCAACTGTTGTGGATATAATTGCATCATTATCCAATGACGACAACAATGCATCATCCAGTTCTGGTGACGCTACTGCCGTCGTTTCAGCACGTTGACACTCTCCGGTCGTTGTCTTAGTCGCTGCGTCCCAGTCGGGCATACATGATACAAACTTTGTGACTAATGTCTGAAGTGTCATGAATCCTGTGATGGCATATCTTGGATAATAAGTAACACTGATGGATTTTTGAAAAGGTGACATCTCCGGTGGATCTCCTGTTGTTCGAGGAATGGAGCCAGCGGATTCTTGATCTTGACTGGTTGAGTTTAATCGTACAGTATACTCAATGTCTTGATACGAGCCAATATTGTTAACGTCTGGATACGAATTAAAGACGATAGCTCCATAAATGTGAGGATTCTCCAGACTTGACCCATAATCTTTACCACTCACGTAATCTTCAAGTGCTTTTTCAGTGTCAAAAAACTGTACACTCTCGAGTAATGATGGGATTGCGATTGGTGTCTCGCTATCTAGCAGATTAATTCGTGGATACCATTCTTCCATGGTCTGCATAAAATAGTCTCTCGTAAATGTTGTATCGGGGGCAATAGCAATTTTGTACGGAGCAACTTTGCCCCTACAGGCAGCAGGCACAGCATACGGTGATGTTGGATTGATATCTACGAAACCTTGTACGGTCACACCAGTCGTACAATTCTGAAAATCTTTACGCGATAGTTCTTCCATGTTCATGCCATCTGTGATAGAAAGAGTACCCATGTATAGCAGAATGCCCCATAACGACGTCTCGTACATTGTAAATTTGGGTAAAATTGAAGGAATTCCAGGTAAGAATGTGCCAGAGGGCTCGAACAGGTTGTATGACGTACCCTGCGTGTCGTCATTCGCGGAGGTCGAGTCATCACTCCATCCTTCGGGTACGTTAACGTCATCGACTAAAGACTTTAATTGACCCATAAGCAAGATAAAGATGCACGGTAGAGCGATCTCCATAACTGTAGCGACAGGGTGGCGCCGTTTAAGCATCCAATTCTTCCATAATATGGTGCGAATGAACATCCACGTGGTTCGCCGCTTAGCCAGCGGCGATGAGGAAGGCGGTGGCATGAATTCTTTGTTGCCCAGTAATGCGGTCTTGGTCTTGTCCATCGTTAGAACTCAAGATGTAAATGTCGGTTTTGATGATAGTCAGCCGTTCTCTTGACTTATGGCCCTTAATTAGGATCAGATTCCAGAAGTCATCAAAAAATAGGCTGACGTATGGGTAAGGTGTTCAGATCGGTTAAGATTCAGAAACCTTTTCCTCGGATCATTGTCGAAGCAAAATTGTGTTCTGATGTATGGGTTTTATTTAGCACTAGATACATTTAAGAATAAATCTACTTTTTACCCCCAATTCAGAATGATACCCAAATGAAATGCAATAATTGTGATACTATTTCATAAGAAATACAAACATTGACAAAGTCACTTCAATTTAGTCTCTAAGCAACCTCCCGAGCTGGTTCGCCGGCTTCCTGTCGCGTCTGCGCGTCTGTCAATTTGCCGCTATCAGCACAAGTTCTAACAATATTGTCACTATTGGTACTTTGTTTGTCAGCACTGTCTTCAGGCTTCAATTTCTCAGTAATCGGCTTTGCAGCCTCTACAGAATTCGTTTTTTTATGCTCATCAGTGGCGGGTGTCACGGGTGTCACCGATGCCTCTGTCGTTGCAAAACTACTTGAGTCTGTATCTGATGTTCTTGGAGCTTCATCATCACCAACGTTTGGGTGAAAAATCCTCATTTCATCCCAGATTAATTTTTGAAGTGCAGGTTTCGTTAGCTTTTCATTCTCAAAATCGAAATCAAAGCTCGCCGTTGCTGTCGTCTCGTCCTCCACATTACGAATTGAAGACAAGTATGGATGCGCCAGCGCGTCATCCACACTGATACGATGATTTGGATCAATCACCAACATTTTCTGCAGTAAATCCAGTGCGGCAGGCGGTACATCGCTAAACATATGTGCAAGTGGCTTTGTTGGATTTGGCCCTCGCTTTTGATACTCTGTATTCATAAATTTACGAGCACGTGCATTGCTCAAAAAGTAGAGCTCTTGGTCGTTTGGAGCACCCAATGCGTTCATAATAAGATGTAGCTGATCAATGTAGTCTTGTCCTGGGAACAAAGGTTTCCGAGACATCATTTCAGCGAAAATACACCCCATAGACCACACGTCCACTTCGCGCGTGTACTTCATACAGCCTAACATGATTTCCGGTGCACGGTACCACCTTGTGACAACATATTCCGTTAATTCAAGCTCTTCCTCCGGAAAAACACCTCGAGCAAGTCCAAAATCACAGATTTTCAGCTCGCAATTGGCGTTTACAAGCACATTTGACGGCTTTAGATCTCGGTGTATGACATTAGCCGAATGCACATATTTCATTGCACATAGCATCTGATACATGAAGAACGCAATGTGTTCGTCGGAAAGCGCGTGTCTCGAGTAAATGACTCGGTGCAAATCCGTTGCCATCAATTGAGAGACAATGTACACATCTTCAAACTTGGACAATGCTACGGGTTCGAAAATATCTTCGACACCTAGCACACACTTGTGATTCAAATGCCGCATTAATTTTATCTCGCGTACAATGCGTTTTGCATCCGTGAGATCGTCAAAAGCCCGTTGGATGTTCTTTATTGCCACGGTTGTCCCTGTTTTCGTGTCTGTAGCCGAAATGACGACTCCATAGGCCCCTGATCCGATGGTTTTGACATATTCAAAATAAGACGGAATCTCAAATCTTGTATTTGAAGTCATAAAACACTGAGTCCCAGCGCGTGTGGCCGGTAAATATTTTGGTTTGGACGACGCATTGGCCACTGCAGCAGCTTCATCAGCTCGCTGCTTTTCCCGTAGTTTCTTTGCTGCCTCAGCACGACTACGCTCTTCTTGCTTTAAATCCTCAGAAGCTTGTTTTCCGTACGTAACAAAACTACCATCTTTTGATGGCACCATGGCGTGATTCCAACGTATTGCCTCTTGTAGTGCGTTCTTCCAAGATTCATAAGTTTTCTTGTCTTCAGCTTCTAGAATCATGGCCTTCGTACCACAGCGTAACTCTAGACGACGCGGGTACCGAGTTGTGTTGACATGTCCCAATAAATGTCCCGGACCGATAGGCGTCTCAGAACACAGAGTTAAGGTGTCTTTACTTGTATAATAACCCAATGTCATATGCCGCTCTTCAAGTCGCAATATAAAATAGCGACGAGTCCACATTTTGAGTCGTAGACCTTGTTTAAGCAGATAACCTTCTTGAATCACATCAGCCGAGCGGAAAACCACAGCTGGGTGTGAACGGGCCGGGACCGCCTTCCCGTGCAGCCACATGGAGAAAATTGACCGATTTTTAGTCACATAGACGCCATCACCATTTTTTTCGTCAGACTCGCGGCGGCCGCCATCATGCGAGCTCATAGCGACGAAAGAGGGACGACTGCTTGGGCGGTTTTTGCCGACTGTGGTGTAACAAATGAGGTGGCAAACCTCCGGCATTTATGTAATTTTTGAATTTCAGGTATTTTATAACATCTTACAAAATGTACATTTTAATAACAGTACATACGTATGTCTGTAGAGCATATTTTAATGGTGAAGACCAAAAATATTAAAAAGCTATTAAAAAAAGATTGAGAAAAGCATCTCGACTTGACAGCTGCACAAGAGCAGGCTGGTGTGATCGGCAAGTTCTAGCTCCTGAGAGGCATACATAGCCTTTAGATTCACAATTTCTTTAGGTGACGGACTCGGTGATGCTAGAGCCACCCAAGGCAAATTTGAGATCCCAAAATCCATCTGTTATCGAGTCAGCGGAACTTCTGAACCTCTTCCGCCATGCAGTCAGCACGTAAACATTGACGGGGCAAGAGTGTAAGAAATTTAAAGTTGGGCCTTATTTTCTTTGAAGGTATCAGTCAAGTCTTAATAGCATTAAAATAAACTTCATAACATGAAGTACGTCAGCATGTATTGCTAAGCTTTATCTTTTACTCTTTTTTTTAGGCGCAGGGACATCTGGAAGGCGGTCGCCTGGATTGCTACATACCAGCAAAGGCTCAATATAGCCCATAGAGATAGCTTGAAAGTGCTGGCGCCGTCTCCACAAATTTGGTAAAAAATGTGGTGGCACAGGCGTTGAACCCATGCCAGTCATACATTCAAACCACTCAGTCATACCAGCAGGAGCACGTCGCCTCTGTCGTGGTGTCACATGGGTCGGTAGCATATTAAATACGAGGTTTGGCTGCAGCTGTTTGAGCTTATGAAGCCGAAATGGCACAGGATCCACAAGAGATCGTCCGTTTACATAAAGCAATTCAGCCGGAGCACTAGTATTAAGAGTCGGGTCAAAGTGCGCCAAACTACCACATAGCGTGTCCGGATGACGCTGCATATCCTTGTTTGGTGTAGCCGACACGACGCTAGCGCCATAAGGTGAGAAGAAGTACGGTGTGTGTGAAAACTCATATGATAGCCAGAAAGACTCTTTGTCACCCCTACATAGCAATATTTGTTATCATGTCGATAGACGGATAGAAAGAAGAAAATATGTACCATGAGAACTCGTAGATAAACCGATGTTCAGTTATCAGATACCACAATACGTTCATCGCCTTGCCAGCTTTGCCTTTGTTGATCAAGATCATCGATGAGTCTTGTTCGTGAGCTGTCTTGCCACGGTACGCAAAAGAGGCTTTAAATGCCGACGACGGAGCTGTATAATTGAGACCGAAGCGTTTGTAGTCGAATGTTTTGAGCCATTGGTGCAAGTAAATCATGCCACGATTCGTGCGCTTGTTTAAGTACTGATTAGTGTTGATCACGCGGTCGTAGAAAAACAACGTGCCATGCTTTTTATACCCTTCGTTAGATCTCAACGTTGCAGGATTCTTTAGCAAAATGGCGTCAGCATCCAGATATATGAGTTCTTCAAAGCTGGTATAATGCACGGCAAGCGGCTTGATCCAGTAACTTTGGAAAGTTTTGGCCATGGCTTCCGAAAGAACCTTTTTCATGATGTACCGTTCACACAAATCGACAACCTGGATATTGTCATCGAGACCATAGAGGAGATCGATAGAAGGTTTCGTAAGATCATGACAATGATGTACCTCAATGGGCTCCTTATTGCCAAGGCATCGCAACTCGCGAATCAAAGAGAGGCCAAGCTCCATAATTCCATCGTGTAAACACAGAAGGATACCCTTCGAATTTTTCTTGACAGCTTGGCGGGGTTCGGCAATAGGTGTTGGCTTCTTGATTGGCTTTGCCGTCGACTTGACCGCTGGCTTTATCTTCGGCTGCTCAAAAGTTGTATTATTGACTAGCTCCTCTTTTGGACTAGGTGGTAACACTGCCTTCGGAGCTGGAACAGGCACTATCGTTGGAGCCAGTGTAGGCAATACCGATGCTGTTTGTGTCTCTACTTGGGAAAGTGCTGGGGTCATATTTGACTCCTTTTGATTCGTTACACTATCCAATGAAGCGAAAGGTTCAGGTGATTTCCACGACTCAGCTTCTTCAGGATCATCAAGCATCCCCTCTGCATTTTGAATTGCCAAAGAAATTGTTTCCTGTAATTTCGAGTCATGAATATCTTTTTTGGAATCAAGACTCTCAACGCTCACAAACGCATATTGCTGTGATAAGGAACACACGCAACAGATAAGCATGAAAGCTCCCAACCCTCGAATGTACACATTGCTGAAAAAACGACTCTCTCGAATTCGGCTTGCCCACTCAGGTGGTAGCATGCCGTCAGTTTGGGATTTTGTGAAGTGCGATTGTTATTATGGAATTCTTATGAATGTGCGTCATGGGATCGATCGCTTTTGGTGCTAGGTGTGATAATTAATGCCTCCAATGCTATTGAGACTTGATGCAGCGTAACTCCTCAAAGGGGTTTCATCCAATATAAAGGTCACTTAATAAATGAGGAGCCCAGTAATATATTTAGTAGTGTTTGCAAAATGCTCAGTTATTTCCTATACTGAAACTTGGTCAAATAAGGAATGTAATCCGATGTATTTAAATTGATGCACTTGATTTTTACAATATAGTACAATATTAACATTACAATTCGTGTAATTGTGATTATTTTATAAGTAGCGAGACATCAGTATTTATTAAGATTGCGGAACTTCGGATGAACACATTGGCTGCTAGCCGGACGCTTGAAAATAAAGGCAGTTCTGATTCGAGAAGTAATAAAACGTATAAATTAGTAAAAGTCTTCATAGAGATAATTCTTGATAAATTTGCTCTTGAAATAGCAGGGCAAACTAACAGGGTCGATCGACTGTCTGAGAGGCTTCTGATTCTGCTTCTGGTAGGAGCCCCTGAACCCAAGTTCTTTGCGTTTGTTATCGCAGATTCCTCGGATACAGGCCTCCTTTATGCAAAGTGAACTGCAACCCCGTTGCACCTGAAAGCACTTGTGTTCAATCCCACAATCAAGTCGTGGAAAGACTACACTCTGCGAAAAAGAGACATGAATACTTAAATACTGTCTCTAAAACAGACAGACCAGCTGCAGCGGGGCTGTCGTAGCTAAGCGCTTGAGGAAGCGTACTTAAGGTCTCCGACCTTTTGTTCTTTACAAGAACCAAGTATGAGTTAGCAGATCGCAATTCGCTTACTCCAAGAGTAATTATTGCCTTCTCAAGGCTAATTGACTCTTCGGTTTAAATTCTAAACTTATTTTTATTTACTTTCATCCTAATTTTAAAAGTTTAGATTTTCCTAAATTTACTCAATATATATATATAGTAAAATCTAAGTCCATGCATAACTACTGGCTAGCGAGCCGCATACCGTATTCTTGTTTGGGTGCAGTCACACCATGCACATCTCGTGTGACACACACACCTGTTACCAGCGTACGTGTAAACCCGTAACACCAGCAAAAAATCTTTTGTCGATTTTGAATACCGATGGGATAAGTGAATAGGAGGTCAATTGGCCGAAAGAGATAAGCGCTCGCCTGGACGCGCTCACCAGCTATGAAAATGCGCAGGTGAGGAACATTCTGGAGCGATTCAACCTGGTGCATCGGCGGTGGAGCGAGTGGGGTTACACCGTGAGACTTCTCGTGTTGAGAGTCTAGGCTACTCGCGCTCGTAACGGAGAAAATTATATAATCTAAGATTAGAGAGGTCGCGACAGCCATGACTTTGGTCTTGATTCAGACGAAGCCACAGCGCGTCTCGCTTGTGATCTCCCAACTATGAGGTTGCTCGCAAGGATGAACACATACGTACAATATCTCGAGAAATGAAGCGTTCCAAACGTGGGCCAATTTGTATCGTTAGATGTCGCGGGTGTTTGCATCGCCTAATCTGGTGTATCGCTTGGGTTATTATCCATTCGTTGTGCGAGGTGAGAACTGTCGGACTATATTCGAAAGGTAAGACCTTGAATCGCTTTGATAAAGTCTAAACCTAGGTAGGTAGTAACGGGTGTCGTATTCATATAAAGTCTTTAAACGCGTGCGGCTTTCGCCAAGACCTTTCGCGTCCACTCTACTGCTTACGAAAAGACTGTGGGTATGCAATGCGGAGCACAACTTCCGTGTCACGAGGATGGATTGGGGTGCTAGGCCGGTAAGCTCTGAGAGCGCGCTAGAGCCGATCGATATCAGTCACTTTGAGAAAGAAAGAGGTATCTTGTCGGCTCAGCATCTCTGCAGTACCCGGAGATGTTTATTCTGTCAAATAGATCATCTGCTTCCGGCGCTCTCGGATGAGATGTGGTGAATGGGCTCCCATGCATGAGCGGACCATGCCCCCCCCTCGCGATGAAATGTCACGACTCAGCCGGCGCTGCGCAGTATAATGAGCCCTATTTTACTTCATCAAGGTTGTAGCTGCCCTCGAAAAAAGCGACTCTCTCCAAAAATGGTTGTACGGCGCGCAATTGTCAAAAACAATGACAGTGCGCGGAGATCGCTAAACACAAATACGATGTCGTGCGTCTTCGATTGCGAAGGAAACACTAGTAAAAGTGTCGAAGGCTATTCCGGCCTTCGAGTAGTTTGACAGCGTGAACTGATGTCTTGTCTTGAATATATGATTTTATAAATGGCATGGTGGCCTAATCGCCAAAAGCCACGGGCCAACTGTTAGTCGAAGTAGCTAGGTTTTACGCGCGTCTTCCTGTTAGTATTGGCGTCATGAGATTAGCTCTACCACGCGACAGAAGCGCTTTCGGTGCGGGTGCAAAGCTGCGTTAGCTTGCATAAACCGTTCAAAATTGATAGCAGTTGTACTGCTAGGTGCCTCGAGTCGAGCTCGAATAAAGCAAGAGCGATAGCAGGCCGAGGTATCAGGATGAGGTGGAGAAAAGTGATTGTATATCCTCAATGTGCATAAATGTCGAGACGAGAAAGGGTGAGTGTGATGCAAGGTTCCTAAATGTGTTGCTCGCGGGTCGGCAAGAACCAGCTATGCGATGTTTTCTTCTGTATTAGGTTCGGTTGAGAGTGAAGGCAACCGGATACCCCAATCTTTCGTGCCAGAGTGGGTGGAAATGCTGGGCAAATGTAACTCGCGAGTAGATGGGCTAGGGTTTGTTCTAACCTTGTCACGATATGACCGTACTTTTGGGTCAGCGATACCGTGTGACGGGCTCGACGTCCGGATCATTGAAGCTCCAAGGGTAAGTGGCGAGAAAGAAGGAGGTGACCGAAATAAGACTAAGGGTTGTAAGTCCCCCCGCTCTACCTCCGGTAGAAGCTCGTATAAACTTGGAAAATTACCCCCCGGGAATATGAGCGAGGATCCGCAAGACAGTGGTGTCACCAACATGGTACGGTTGGTACCAGATATAAATATTTTGCTTAATACAATCGCAGAGCACTGAATGTGCAGAGTGAGACAGACATGCTTATGGATACTAAGGATCATTTCTATTCTTTTTGGAAGGAATATCATGACGTGGTGATATGAGACCCTCCGGGCATATTATCCTCGGATTGGGCAGTACATTAGTACACTGATTTTGTAAGCGGAACGGATGATTGCGTCACATGGCAATGACCCTTACCAAAAGATAGTGTGGCATCGATGATGCGAAACATGAAGCGAGTATTGTAAAGGACAGTTTATATCCACACTGGGTGTTGACTTTATGTGTCAAAATGGCAAACGACAGGCGGCGAATTGTGCACGCTTATTATACGCTAATTGCTGCCACGATTCCGACGCAAGCATCTATTTGTAGAGAGGAAGGCTGTAAAGTAGCAGGTCTGGTTGAACTCTGTTAAGATCCTCCAAACTAGCAAATAATTTTAATTTTCATCAACAGCTGATCAAAGATACGATACCCCTCTCATTGCAGTGACTACAGGGTGCGATGTGCTCTGGAAGTGGATGGTCATGCCACAGGGACTGTCTAATGCACCACCGACATTCAATCGTCTGGTGAAATCAAGCTACATCGTGACTACTGCGCGATCCCATTTCGGCGCTTTATTCGTTTGCAGTCATACAGGGCACGAAAATCAGATTTGGAAACCACATCGGATGCTTGCGAGCGGTGCTCAAGGGTTCATGCTTAAGTATGCTATTCCCCGGCAATGACCAGTGTTTCCTTGGCGCCGAGCAGAAACCTTCTTGTAGGTTCATTGAGAAGCAGTGCTCGCGGTTAGTTACCGCGAGATGAAGGGCAATTGCTCGCTGGCAAGTGCCTCTGTGCCAAAAGGACATAAGGAAATAGTTAAGCCTTGCCAACTGCTCGCACAAGTACAGTGCAAACTATGCCGACATGATACGACCCCTCGCTAATCTTTTCAAAGAGAATACCGCATGGCGCTGGGCTGCAGTGGAAATGGCGGTCTCTGAGGCTGTGAAAAAATGTCATGCGTGCCCCACTTCTGGATCCTCCAGATCCAAATCGGCCATTTCACGTCATCTGTGATGCTTCAGTCATTGCAATAGGCTGAACTTTGCTTCAGCAGATACCAATGGACGTGAGCGCATAATCGCGTTTGGCTCTCAATAACTAAAAGCTACTGAAGTTGCAACCTTTGTTGTACCAAAGAGCTATACGCAATCATGTAAGCCCTCAACAACTTCAGGATGCATCTGCTTAGCTCTAAGCCATCTGTAATTTATCCAAATCATGCTTCATTGCGCACAGCGACGTCACCACCACATTTCTCGCAGAGAATGACAATATGGTTATCCTAGTTTGTTGAATATAATCTTGAAGTAAGGCGGGTTTAATGCGGTGGTGGTTTCACTTTCGCATCATCCCGACTATGAAGTATCACATATCGCAATAATGACGACGAGACGATACGTACATTACACTGGTCAGATGCAGCATGTTTTGCGCTGCTTTGGAAAGCAAATGTATGAAAACTCAAATGCTATTATATCGATCTGCGCCGCTGCACGCCTCTACCTTAATTCCTTATACTTATGCTTACTGTACCTCCGCACTGATTTTATATGGCATTCACCACATCTTGGTGCTTCTTGATGAGGTCCTGTAGTAAGAAAAAATTGTTCGAAGCGCATGATACCCTTCTGGGCGCCCATCCCGAAGAAAAATGAGTAACAGCTTGGTGACTAGGATATATCAACGACATAACTTGTACAAGCGGGTAAGCACATATGTGCACACGTGTGAAATATGTCAATGGGCTAAAATCTTGCCGCATGCAGCGGTATCTTTGGCCAGTCTGTCAGTCCTGGTAGAATGCTGACAGCCCATCGGTATAGACCTTGTTTTCATTCTTCCAGAAGACGCGTTCGGTACTGCCAGTTTTGTGGTTGAAAAAATGGCTCATCCCGCTGCGTCCGGTGTTAATATGAATGTTGAAGATACAGCCAAACTATTCCTCAAATTGGTTTTATCAACACGGCTTGCCGGTATCTGTATCATCGGTTAGAAGTCAGCGCTGTACAGAAAAGTTTGGCACACATTGCTCAAGGTGGAAGACACCAGATCATATATGTCAGCCGCAGAGAAACTATGAAGCCCTCGGTGCTTTTGACTTCGCCACGAAGCTGATCCGGCTGTGTGGGATGTGCTGTCGGTCGAACTTGACTTGCTAATATCGGCCCGATTACACTCTTCAGCAAATTCAGTGATTTTATCTCGATGAGATCGAGCGTTGTGCGCAGGGTGCACGACGCTATGACTGAAAGCCGGGGTTCATAAGCAACACGCCATTGCTAGGGATAGGCGGGACACACATAGATATGTTGTGGGGCAGTGCATATAATGCAGTGTATACGGTCTATACGACAAAGTTGCGGTCGAGTCATACCAGAAGTGTTTGCAGTCGTAGCAAAAAGAAATCGGGCTGTACTCCAAATACCCCAAAGCAAATGCAAACGTACCCAATGTTCTCACTGTGAATTCCCTGAAGTTATACGACGATCTGGCTCTTTGAGGTCAAGTTGGACGAGCTAAGCTCGGTTGCAGACGAAGCAACATCTCAACCATCTCATGTCGCTGAGATACCCTCTGCTCCATTCCAGTGGCGTGGCTTTGAGATGTTGACATGCAGTGCGATGCCGCATCCCCTACGTTGAATCCGAGATCTGACTTATCTCAGCCTGAGACGCGACGTCAGGTGCCTCTACAGTCGAGGGAGCTTACGAAAGCCTGTCGCGAGTCAGTCGACCTTTGCCTGCTCTTGACCTATGAACAAGAAGCGATCAAACCCACGTGAAGCGTTTGATGGGCCTGTTGGTCCGGTGCGATGTCAATATTATATGAAAATAAGATAAAAGAATTACTCTTAATCTGAAAACTCGAAGGAGGTTCAGGTTTCTCTTCCGCGGGGTTGATCTGGTGCCTTGGCAGCTTTCGATCTGGCTTGCCTTCCGCCTTTTTCCCCCTTGAAAGTGAGGCGGTATAGCCCGTCGTGGCGCGCTTCACACTCGTGGGTAGGTAACCGACCTTGCGGTAAAAATATTTAGATTTGTCGCTCTTACATCTGTCTCATATAATAGCAGAATTCTGAGGTGATGGATTGTAACTTCGACGTCCATGTCATGCCTTACATTTTTCGAGGTCAAATAAGACGATGCATTAGATAGACGTCTGCTTTGTTCAGGCTGTCTTGTTAAGCCCAAATGTTCGGGACGGCGTGTTTCTCTCACCAAGTGCGCGAATCGATTATTTTCCTTGGCGACACTTCCGCCAGTTTCTTTTACCCAATATTATGTTGAGGGTTCGGCTTTTCTCGATACATTACTGCTGAGAACTGATGACTTGTGAAGTGAGTAAGCGCTCATGAAGCGACTTTCTTGCTCTCGTTTTGTTTTTGGTACGAGCGAAAGGCTCGCGCGCATAGGTGAGAAGGAGCTACCTACCAGCGCGGAGAGCGACATTGCTCGGGTTAGTACGACGTGAATCGGGCGAGAGCTTGTGTAATTCTTGCACTTGCAATAGAGCGATTGAGCTTGCTGGCTAAACACCTCTATCCTCATCTGGCGATACATTACGTCCCCGGTATCTGGAGTGGAGATTCTCTATGCGCTCAGCTTCTCAGCTTCATCTGTCTTGAATGCCATGTCCTTTCCATCGACGGGAAGTGATTTCAGAACCCCGCCGTAGAGCTTATGACGATACGAATCTCATTACCGGGACTCCAAGTCACGGGCACCGTTCTGGTTGATAAGACTTTACAGAGATCGCGCTTTTGGAGGGGACACGTTTGGCACGGAAAGTAAGCTTAAAGAAACGAGACAATTAAGTTCAGAAAAATGAGAGATAGAAGTCAAATGTGGCGTAGTATCGTAAAACAGAATGACAAAATAAGTGTGAACCCCAGTGCAGTAACGAGGCGAGTCCTGTATCTCGTGTACTTATCCCTTGCACGTTTAAAAAAAATAGTACGAAAGTCACATTAAAATCGTTGTATCCGGAAATAGAAAATAGGAACGAAATGACGGTATTTGTGCACGCAAAGCTTTGCAAAGGAGGGGTCCGAGGTATACGTCGGCTGCCAGCCGTGTTCAAGATAAGAAAGTTTTGTTAGGGGGAACGGTAAGGAGTACAGATGAATATGAGACTAAATATAACATATTCTATATGTGTGTCCACTTGAGAATAGCAGAGCAACTTGTATTAGCTATTTGAGTGCATTGGAATTCTGATTCTGATAAGTGCACTTGAACCTAAACCGGTCTTGACAATTGACCATCAATTGTTTTTCGTCCATCGCAGTTTATGCAGTCACGTGGCCAAGTTCTTACTACCTTGGAGACTCGATTATTGAGCTTGTGTAACACATTTCATTCCTCGAAAGCAGATTCGATCGATTGCATTTTTGTCTGAGGCTATTTAGCGAGACCAAGAGTCTAGTTAAATCGCTTGAGTTGGATTTGCTTCAGCATCAACTCCACTTTTTGGTATCTCATCCAGAGACTGTGAACACATCTCGCGCCACATGATATGTTTGTAGCAAGCATACAGCAGATCGCATCCGCAAAACCCTCGTAATACAACAAAGAAGCATATGATCCATGTAGAGCACAATTTCGACCGGAGACTCGCCGTTCTAGTAAAGAGGAAGAAACAGGTCATTGCTCAAAGCCTAGTAAAACAATAACAGCGCGAGACTGTCAACAAGGCACCGCACACTTTGCACAGAGGAATATTTGACTGTAAGTGTCTACGCAAAAAATCGCATGCTTGCAGAAGCAGATCCGAAAACCTTCCCGGACTTTCGCACAAAAGTGCCAAATGTTTATGGGATAGGTACGCAGAATTACAGAATTTTGCCCTGTTACAAATTGTCGTGAACCTTACGACCGCGTCTTACTCCAGGTCATAAACTTCACCGTAGCTTTGTCCCGATTATTAATTCCTTCTCACCGAATCTATGCTCTAACACCCACCTACAGTTGATAGCATCGTGCGGACGCCGCAGCAAATACACTATGATCGCGAATGTGGGCTTCGAGGTATGCATATTAGATTCTTTTACCGCGTGGCTTCGACTGATGCCACCACTTCTGCATAGTTACCGATTAATTAAGCGCTATCTTGACTTTATTTAGTCTATGGTGCTTGAGCTCCGATTTTTGACGGCATGTATTGAAGCTTCAGTCTGACAAGTAGGGGCAGAGATTCGCACGACGCGACCGGAACTGATAGCTCCAGGGTTTTCTGGACAGCAAGATTGAACTTCTAATCATGATAGCTTATCAACAAAGTTGCAGTTCCGGCAACAGGTATGGCTTGAAACGATTGGGCCAACACCTTTTAATGGAGAATATTAGTTCACAGCATAGATTGAAAAGGAAGTGAGCTGCAAGATGTTTGGCCACTAGTAATGCTCCTTGAAAGCTCGACACCCGAAACGATTTCAGTTTGACAGACAGGATGATATTGCCAAAACTGTGACATGACGCCAGAACATATCTACACCGGAACAAATATTTGATGACGCAAAATACCTTGTATATTAAATCGACATTTTGGTGCGGGAGCTGAGCGCCACTCTAGCTTCAACTGTTGACGAGCCCAACTTTTTTTGGAGAGGTCTTGCAAGTGTACAGCCCAAACAGATTTGTACGTGCATAATTACACCAGCAATATGCGGCGTTTTAAAGGCAATTCTGACTTTTGCAAACACTTAGCGTCGCGTATTTTGCCCTACCCCACTTGGACCATATATGGTCCAAATCGTCCAATTAACATTGAATGTGCACATCATGAATGGAGTTTTGACGACAAATTGGTCATTAACGGCAGATACATGGCGCTTCAAGTATTGTTCGGATGGACATGTCCTCCCAATATACTCGGACCTCAAATCAGGTCTACAGCACAAAGTATGGGATCTCGATGCAAGCGGTTCATGTTTACATGGATGCACAAGCGTTGAATATGCCCAACATTTTTTTGGGCTTGCAGTGTTGCATTACACAAATGAGACGCTTTTCAACGAACTCATGTTGTACCTTTTGACTGAAACTATGATTGTCTTTTCCTGCTCTATTCGACTCGAAAATTCGACTTCACAACAGTATTGAATTCATTCATTATATGCAATCTTTAGTTTGTGCACTGTTGTGTACTTCGCGCACTATGGCTTCATCAATTGCATGCAAGAGGCACACTTAAATAGATATAATTGCAAATGAAGCGGAATAATTGATCTTCCCGCTTAACATTATACGTTTGTGACATCGACTACCCTCTTCAGCCGTTAAGCAATCCATTATGGCAACATTTGCCTACTTCGCAACAACAAATGTAACTTCAAATACTTCTGCACTCTCTACAGTACAAGCTTTACCGTTGATATCGACGACAAAGTTTTAACAGCAACAGGAATCGAGTTATCGCACCGGTTTCTTGGTAGGACATCCAGTACAGCGGCTAGAATGGTCAGACCGAGCCTGACAGTTGAGCAAAAAACCAAGGGCGAGCTTGCTCAAATCTAAGCTGGGTAGGAAAAAAAAACATGGACCGACCGCACTTCTAGCCTGCTTTCAGCTGAGATTACCCGCTTTATAACAATTCAATTCCGCGCCGACTATTCCCGCTGCTAA